ACCCCTTCCTAGAGTGATCCTGGATCTCTGTACATGTTCTCCCAACATGCCAACACCATCCCTCCCTAGAGTGATCCTGGAGCACTGTACATGTTCTCCCTACATGCCAACACCATCCCTCCCTAGAGTGATCCTGGATCACTGTACATGTTCTCCCTAAATGCCAACACCATCCCTCCCTAGAGTGATCCTGGAGCACTGTACATGATCTCCCTACATGCCAACACTGTCCCTCCCTAGACTGATCCCGGATCTCTGTACATGTTCTCCCTTCATGCCAACCCCATCCCTCCCTAGAGTGAACCTGGAGCACTGTACATGTTCTCCCTCCATGCCAACACTGTCCCTCCCTAGACTGATCCCGGATCTCTGTACATGTTCTCTCTACATGCCAACACCGTCCTTCTCCCAACATGCCAACTTGCCCCTTTCTAGAGTGATCCTGGATCTCTGTACATGGTCTCCCAACATGCCAACTTCCCCCTTTCTAGAGTGATCCTGGATCTCTGTACCTGTTCTCCCTACATGCCAACACTGTCCCTCCCTAGACTGATCCCGGATCTCTGTACATGTTCTCTCTACATGCCAACACCGTCCTTCTCCCAACATGCCAACTGGCCCTGTTCTAGAGTGATCCTGGATCTATGTACAAGTTCTCCCTACATGCCAACAACGTCCCTCCCAAGAGTGATCCTGGATCTCTGTACAAGTTCTCCCTACATGCCAACTTACCCCTTCCTAGAGTGATCCTGGATCACTGTACAAGTTCTCCCTACATGCCAACACCAGCCCTTCCTAGAGTGATCCTGGATCACTGTACATGTTCTCCCTCCATGCCAACACCATCCCTCCCTAGAGGGATCCTGGATCTCTGTACAAGTTCTCCCTACATGCCAACTTACTCCTTCCTAGAGGGATCCTGGATCTCTGTACAAGTTCTCCCTACATGCCAACAACGTCCCTCCCAAGAGTGATCCTGGATCTCTTTACATGTTCTCCCTACATGCCAAAACCATCCCTCCCTAGAGTAATCCTGTATTTCTGTACATGTTCTCCCTAAATGCCAACCCCATCCCTCCCTAGAGTGATCCTGGAGCTCTGTACATGTTCTCCCTAAATGCCAACCCCATCCCTCCCTAGAGTGAACCTGGAGCACTGTACATGTTATCCCTACATGCCAACACCAGCCCTTCCTAGAGTGATCCTGGATCACTGTACAAGTTCTCCCTACATGCCAACCCCATCCCTTCCTAGAGTGACCATCCCTTCCTAGAGTGACCATCCCTTCCTAGAGTGACCATCCCTTCCTAGAGTGACCATCCCTTCCTAGAGTGATCCTGGATCGCTGTACATGTCCTCCCTACATGCCAACACCATCCCTCCCTAGAGTGATCCTGGATTGCTGTACATGTTCTCCCTACATACCAACACCATCCCTCCTAGAGTGATCCTGGAGCGCTGTACATGTTCTCCCTACATGCCAACACCATCCCTCCCTAGAGTGATCCTGGAGCGCTGTACATGTTCTCCCCCTACATGCCAACACCATCCCTCCCTAGAGTGATCCTGGATCTCTGTACATGTTCTCCCTACATGCCAACACCATCCCTCCCCAGAGTGATCCTGGATCTCTGTACATGTTCTCTCTACATGCCAACTTACCCCTTCCTAGAGTGATCCTGGATCTCTGTACATGTTCTCCCTACATGCCAACACCATCCCTCCCCAGAGTGATCCTGAATCTCTGTACATGTTCTCCCTACATGCTAACTTACCCCTTCCTAGAGTGATCTTGGATCTCTGTACATGTTCTTCCTACATGCCAACACCATCCCTTCCTAGAGTGATCCTGGATCGCTGTACATGTTCCCCCTACATGCCAACACCATCCCTTCCTAGAGTGATCCTGGATCTCTGTACATGTTCTCTCTACATGCCAACACCGTCCCTCTCCAAAGTGATCCTGGATCTCTGTACATGTTCTCCCTACATGCCAACACCATCCCTCCCTAGAGTGATCCTGAATCTCTGTACATGTTCTCCCTACATGCCAACACCATCCCTCCCTAGAGTGATCCTGGATCTCTGTACATGTTCTCCCTACATGCCAACACCATCCCTCCCTAGAGTGATCCTGGATCTCTGTACATGTTCTCCATACATGCCAACATCATCCCTCCTTCGGGAGATGTCGATACCAATCAATATCACATCATGTACTACATTGCCAAAACAGAATTTACATTGCATGTACCAGTTTACATTACAGTCCATTGTGAAATTGTCATGTTTTTTTTTTAAAACATCAATCACTTCTAATCATGTTTTTTAGGATTTTGTTAATGTGTCCTGAGATGTAAACAAGCCGTGGTAAATGTGCCTTAGGTCATTGTTGACATTAGGTGACTCACTGCCAATCTCAGTCCATAGTGCTACTGCATATTTGATATCTGACACTATTTCAGGAAGTTTATTTAACTTTCATGAAAAACACACTTTGGAATAGTAATGTATGGTACAAAATTTAAGCACAAAGCATTTTCTTGGAGATAATGATGTAACTACACATTTATATTTGAGCCCGCTTTTATTTCGGCTTCGTCATGGACAGTAATAACTAATGTGACACATGTGTGTACATATATATATCAGTATACATGTAATGTATAGGTTTTTGGTGTGTACATATATATTCATGTATCAGTATACATGTAATGTATAGTTTTTTGGTGTGTACATATATATACATGTATCAGTATACATGTAATATATAGGTTTTTGGTGTACATATATATATATCAATATACATGTAATATATACATGTGATATATAGGTTTTTGGTGTGTGCATATATATACATGTATATCAATATACATGTAATATATAGGTTTTTGGTGATCATTATTTGTACATTTACATTTTAAGATGTTTTAAACCATTCCTGCTTAGTTAAGTAAAGATCAAGTTTTCTAACATCGGTTTATTATATACATGTACTAATTATAAGGCAATGCAATCTATAGATTTGTGAATAATGTGGGGGGACATATTGATGTATGGGGGGGACATATTGATGTATGGGGG